TACTGTTCTGGGTACTAGGCAATGTGTGCAAGTTGGAGCTTCTAATCCTCGAAGGAGGTATCCATGGGAAAACTCACAGTGCCCAATTCTTAGCCGACATAGTATCCCTTCTTCTCGTCTAGACTTTCTGTTTGATGTGTTCCATTTGATACATTTTGTTTTTATTTCCTGAAGTTTTGCCGAACTCATTTCCCATTCAACGTTCCATTTATTTTGAAAGGAGCAGGCAAGTTGGTGTGTCCAATCTTCTCGAGGAATAGCATCAATTATTGTGGTTCGTGCAGTTCTTTGACGCCGGGCAGAGTTGGCAGCAGCATCGGCTCTTTCGTTACCCAGGATACCACAATGTGATGGTGCCCAGATAAGGAATATGTTTTTATTTTCTTCCTTTAGTTTACCATATATGTTAAAAATTTCTGTTATAACAGGATGCTGGTGCGTTGATTGTTCTATGGCTTCTATTACGGACATTGAATCGGTTACGATAGCGTAGTTTTTGAAGTGGTTTGTGTGGATGTGCAAGAGTGCTTCTTTTATGGCCGTGGCTTCTCCCGTAAAAATAGAACATTCTCCTGAAAGTTTGTACAGGAATTCTTCACTGTCTGTAACGACTGAACATCCCACTTGGTTTTCGGCTTTTGATGCATCTGTGTAAAATATTTTGTAATTGTAGTATTTGTTTAATAATTCTAAAAAATACGATTTTTTTCCATCCGAAACTAGAGTTTTTTTTGAGATGTGGGACATATATTTTTCTGTAGAAATATTGGGAAGACTCCACCTTGGAAAGTTTTTATCTGGGAGCTTTTGGATGCAATTTAGGTCCATATTGAATGCTAACGTTGTTTGAATTATAGACTAGAATTATAACTGTTATTGATTGAAACTGTTTGTGGATCAGATATGATGTCTCGTAAGGGATGTCGTGGAAGTGACATTATTTTGGCCCCATATTTTGCAATCATAAATGCTCTTCTTTTCTCGAGGGATGGTTCGGCGCATTCTGCATATAGACTCTCAATCGGCGATGTTCTATAAGCTCCTGAGCATATCCTCAATGCAGCATTATGGATCGGGTCAAGAATTTTTAAAATACTTCTTTTTGAGGTTCCAAATACACATGCTCCATAATCTATTTTGCTTCGGATCATCGCTTTGTATACCTTTAATAGACTGCTTCTGTCAGCTCCCCAACTAGAATGTGAATGACACTTTAGGAGGCCAAGTCTTTTTAAACATTCTTGTTTAAGACCTTTAATGTGGTCAGTCCACTTTAAGCTTTTATCTAGATGGATTCCTAGGTATTTTTGGTGATCTTCAAACAAGAGGTCGGCCATCCCTAATTTTAGTTTAGGATTCGTAGAGCATCCTCTTATTCTGCATATATGCATAGCCTTTGTTTTATTTATCGAAAAATTAAAACCGCTATTTCGTGCCCATTTTTCTGCTTTTCTCAGTGCTTTCTGTAGTTTTCACTCAATAAAATAGAGAAATTTGCTACGACCTAATAGTAATACATCATCGGCAAACATTATGATTTTAATAGGTCATTTGAAATTCGGTGGTAGATCATTCATAGCAATCAAAAACAAAGTTACACTTAGAGGGGAACCTTGGGGCGTGCCATTTTGAGAAACGTTAATTGACGACAAGGAGGACCCAACTCTGACTTGATATTTTCTTTCTTTAAGAAAGTTTTTAATGTATGCCTTCAATTTTCCCTGAACACCATAATTATCTAAGATTTGCATTATGCGGCCTCTTAACATGGTATCATAAGCTTTTTCCAAGTCCAAAAAGACAGCAACCAAATGTTTTTTTTTTTGTGAGAATGCTTCTTCTGCTTCATGTTGCAGTAACAAAAGTGCATCAGTTGTGGAATGTCCTTCTCTGAAACCAAATTGATGGGGGGTAAATAGTTTGTTCGTTCCATGTAATCAACAAGTCTATTGTTTACCATTTTTTCCTGTAATTTAGAGAGGCACGTTATTAATGAAATAGGACGAAAGTCATTTGGGTGGATTGGAATATCTTTTTTTGGGACCGGAGTGATAATTGAGGTTTTCCATAGCTTAGGGAGTTCACCAGCATCCCAGATCTCGTTGTATAGTTGAAGTAAGTATAATCTAACTTCATCTGGTAAGTGTTTTAATTTACATTTATTTAAAGTTTTTTTTTCAAATGAGAATATTAAGAAGAAAAATAAAAATAGTTTCATGGTTGCCGACTTAGAATTGAGTTTTTGGTTTTCCAATGAAAGTTAATTTTCACTCAGTTTTTGTTTAATGTTTTAATAATTATATAAATTTGTTTGTGAAATTTGCCAATGATAGAGTTAGATGAATAAAATGGAAATAAAAATATGCCAAAGTTTATTGGAACATATTTTAAATGAAGTTAAATAGAAAAAAAACAAATATTGTTCTTGGATTTTATTATTTATTTTCGTTTGATATAAGGATTCATATGCTTCATTCAACTTGCCCAACTTCAATTTTATTTCCCAAACCATTCTAGTTAATATTTTGTTGCAATAATTACTTTTTAAATTGAAATAACAAAGAAAGACAGAGTATTCAAATATTTGTATCCCACCGACCCAATATGGCCGCCACATCAGTATGACCACATTGTATATTAAGCCACTGTAATATGGTCGGTCTTTAGCGCGCTCTAGCGGCCAAACGAAAAAAGCTAGCGAGCTGGTTCTAGTTTTATTTTTTAGGAAATTTTATCAGTTCAGGCAGCTTCACTCCGAAAGCCTCCCTCCCCCGTTAGATCCGCCTGTGATTATCATCAATGTTGTTCAATTCAGCACTGGGGGGTGATAAGAACATCACATGAAAATTAAGGGGTCCACGTCGGAATGAATCATAAAATCTTTGTATGTGTACATGATATAGCTATCCTAGGAAGTAATCAGACACATTGAGAAACTCACTAAGACTCTGATAAAAGAAGCAGAGCAAATCGGCCTAAAAGTAAATTATATCAGGATTAATTAATTAATAACAGGATTTTCGTGGAAGGAAAATCGTTCCCGAGGGTAGACAAATTTAAATACCTCGGACCCACAATTACGGCAATTAATGTCTGTCCAAAGGGGTCAGAAATAGATCCTAGAGTATAACAAGCGCAAACAGAGCTTTCTTCTCCCTTTTGAAATCCCGAAAACTCTCAAATTAATGGAGTATACCGCCATGAGCCAATTCAAAGGTCTTGAGATGTGGACACTAACCAGCGCCCTAGAAAAAAGTATTGAAAGATTTGAGAGAAAATCCTCCACACACTGCATAACTGTCATAACTTGTACTATCAACTCTCTGAGGTTTGGCCATTAATGCCAGCAAAAAAACAGGTTCAATGTTGAAGGTTAGTGGGCAGAGTTAGGCATAAGCTACTCTGAGTACTGAGTACTTTACTCAAATACTGGACCAGTGTGAGTAGTATGTCAGTACATCAGAAGCCGATCCATGGGAGGTGAAAAAAGGGAAATTTTCCCTCCCAAAATAATCATTGAGGAGCAGAAGTCGCAGTTAGTGAGTCGCTGATTTCAACCAAATTTTTTTTCTGATACTACATCAAAAAATTTGGGACATGGTACCAGCGTTTGTTTCAATAGACCTTAGGAACTAAGAAAAAAAATTACTTTATATTTCAAAGAATTTTTATATTATTGGTTTTTTCCTTTGCTTTGCACGGATTTCTAGATTACTATAAACCACTCGATATCTTTTTTTTTTTTTGGGGGGGGGGTTAGTAAATAAGAAATAACTAGATAATAAGAGCGATTTGGGATCATAGTACTAATACATAGAGAAGAAAGACCAATAATGAGCTGCTTACAGAAACTGGTCAATCAATATCTCATGATATGAAAGTAAGGAGTTAAGATGGAGGGAGCACGTAGCTCGGAGCAATCCATCTGGAAGTCTATAAATAACATTGAATGCCTCATAGTAGGCAAAAGACCACGTCGAAGGTCAAAAAAAGCAGATGGATAGATCAAATCAGCAAAGATGCAATAGAGCTGCATGCAGATAACTAGAAAGAAATAACCCAAGATAGGCAGAGATAGAGTAGGCTTGTTAAGGCAGCAAAGGACCTACAATGTCTGTAATGCCAATATAAAAAAAAAAATTAACTAAGAGTTTTGTTTTAGAGAACACAAAAATTACTTGACCTATTTTATGAGAGGTGTGATAATTTTTTGCAATTTCTAAAACATTGGAACTCATTTAATAGTAGGAAATATATATATATATATATATATATATATATATATATATATATATATATATATATATATATTTTTTTTTTTTTTTTTTTTTTTTCTTTTCCCATTCGCATTACAGACCTTGTAGATCTTTAGTCGACTTGACAAACCTTCCCTATCTCTTCCTACCTTGGGCTATTGCTTTCCAGTTATCTGCTTGTAGCTCTATTGCATCTTTATTGAATCGATCTTTGAAGTCATCAAAGTTTTTGATGTAAAATCAGCAAAAAAAAATTTGGTCGAAAACAGTGACTCACTAACTATGACTTGAACAAAACAAGATATTCAATTAGTAAAGTGTTGTTTTTTTTTTTCTCGTTTTTTTTATATATGTATCAATTAAACATCCTCACTTTAAGGAAGCTAAGATAAATAAAATCTCTCAAATAAAAGCAAAGCTTTTACTTCCAAGAGGCCTTGAGAAGTAAAAGGAATAGAAGCCTGAACATAAATTTTATATTTATGTAGGATATACACAATGAGAGGGAAAATAACAATAGTTAACAAACAAAAAAAAAAAAAAAAAAAGCTGTTATGCAACTAAATATAATGAATATTAGTGTAACACTTCACAAACATTATGGTTTGTATATTATATACATTATAATATATTCCCCTTGGGAAAGAGTTCTCAAAACAAAGAAGTAAACATAGAACTAAAATTGATCATTATATATTGAATAACAATCTCTATTTTAACACAATCAGATATAATAGTGGTATAAATTCTTAATTTAGAATATTTCATAAAAAAATTAATTCTTCTAAGACTTGATGTAAAATGCTGTTCCTGCTAGAATCCATTTTTCTATTTCCTGTTTTTTACAAGGTATTAATAAGTTTGCTATTACTTTATCTCTTCTATCTGTCAAATAAAGAGGAATAGATACGTATGAAGTATCTTCTAAGTTATTCTCCTGTAAATAAAAACAAAATATAAGAATTTATTTTGATAAATATTAACACCTAGGTGAATCATACCCTGAAAATTTTGTTTTCAAATCATATATTCATTTATTATGTTATATTTAAATGTTCTTTAGAAAATTGATTTACTAAACATTTTCAAGTCATTACAAAAGTAAATATGTTTTGATTTCTCAAAATATGCTTAGTAATTAGTATAAAGTAAATATGGTAAAACAAGAGAGGATGGAATTCTCTCTCAAATGATGAAATAATATTGATGATTCTGAGTTAAAAAAAATTATTACAATGTAAATCAAATAACGTTTTTTGCATGTTGCAGAAAGGGTATATTAAAAAAAAAACCTGTACTACTTACAGCCCATGAAGGGTCTTGGATTCAGTACAATGTGAGGAAGTACTGTTACAAGGCCCAATCACCTTTTTTTAGAGCTGGTGACAAAGACACATCAGCTCCACGGCGGTTTCCCGTTTAATAGGGTTTTATTCGGCTAGTCGAGCTAAGAATTGACAAGTAGGCGAAGCCTTATGCTGGAGACATGCTGCTTGAATTTGGAGAAAATTAAGCAAAGAACTTCGCCAGGACCAGAAGGCAAAGGAATCAGTATGCTTATGGGACCGGGGTTCTTATCGCTGTGCAGTATAGGACTTGTCGGCCCCCACCACTTCTCAGCAGCCGCCAGGTCAGTATCGCCTTATCAATACCAACAGCTGTCACCGAAAGAGCCCAATCTATGTTGTTATTAAGTCAATTAATCTTATCATTTGTTTTATTTTTTTTTTTTCTTTCTCCTCTCTTATTTAAGAAAAAAAAAATATATATATGCATATTTGCTTTAATACATTTGGAAACGGTTTTTGCTTTCGAATAAAAATTGGCTGATCAAAGGTTAGCTTAATTATTAAAATTAATTAATTATTATTTTTAAAAAATAATTATTCAGCTTTGCTAATTGATTTATTTATTCAATTTTATTTATTATTTATTCAGTGAAAGTGGGTATGTGTATTTAATTTTTAACAATATATTTTACAGATTTAACTTGTTTTTATTCATTAACCTTATTTATTAATCTATTATTATTTAACTTAGATTTTATTAATAATATATTTTAACTTGTTCTTACTGTTAACTTATTTATTAGTCGTTTATTGTTTAATTCAGATTATATTAATTGTATATTTTAATTTGCTTTTAAGAAATTGATTTTATAGATTTTAACTTTTTACCATAATTTATTTTATATATTTTAACTTAATTTTAAGCAATAGATTCTATAGATTTTAACTTCATCTTATATTTTAGCTTAGTTTTAAGATAGATTTTAACTTATTGATTAACTTTTTTTAGTATAACTTGGATTCTATTGATTTTAAATTTTAACTTACTCTTAAACAATTGATTTGAATTTTTTTTAGCTTGTATTCATTTTAACTGTTTTTAAGCATTTGATATTAATCTGATATTTAAGTGTTTATGTTGGAATTTATGCATGTCTCTCCTGTTTAGTTTTTGTTTATTTATATACAGGTTCAATCTCCTTTAAATAATTTGTTTTAATCATGCGTGTGGCACACATGTTCTCGAATAGAGAGATTGGATTTTGAATGGACCTAAGAACAATGAATGAAATCGAGATTGGCCAGAGAGTATGGGTTCTGAGAACTGAAGGACCTGCTCAGGAGGCTGTTGTTACCTTTGTGATGTCTGTGGATGCTGCGGGAGATGGCAAAAAGAAATATGTAAAGGTTGAATGGTCAGACACAGAAGGTGTACCATTGGGAAAGACAGTTTCGATAGATGATGTCTTTCCAGCATTGCCAAATGTTCCCCAGAATGTGATGGAGGTGAACAGAGAGCAGGAGGACGAAGTTCTACGCCCTGATAATAAAGTTTGTCCCATATGTAGGCTTTCTTTTAAGAGTGAAAGAGGTCTTGGAACCTATACTGCAAAAAAGCACCCCAGGGAGGCTAACAGCAATACACTGAGGGGCATAGTGGAAAATATTATAGGTCCTAAAAATGGAGAGGGTGAGGTATCAAAAATAAAAGAGGACATTATTGGATGGTCTACTGTGTTCAAGAACCTCTCAAAAGAAAACATGACAAATATTGCGGATTTTGATGAAGCCGTAGGTAGGTTCCTGAAATTTCTCAAGAATATCGATGCGAATTGCCAGGTCCCCAGCACAAAGCCGTTAAATTTTACAGAATAAGAAAAAAAAATAAAACGAAAGTGGCTGACAAGGGTGCAGGACAAGACTCAAATTCGTAAAGAGCGAACAAAGTAGGCAGGAGTCGTGGGCAGGAGCAGTATAAATATGAGGTTGCACAATACAGAGAGAATCACTTTATTATCATAAAAGGGTGCTGCCCAATTACATTGGGTTGCTTTAAACACAGCATACTTATTAATCGCTACAGACAATTTTCCAAAACTAATATACAATTATAATAAAAGGAAAAAAGTTGTGCAAACTGTTATGAATGCCAATGCTCCTAAGCGGTGTCCTCTAAAGATTGCTAATATCGAAAAACATTAAAGACCTCTTTGTGAGCAAAAATCACTGCGGACTTGCAGATTATGAACAGTGTGCCCCGATGCCAAATTTGGTGTCCATTGAGCTAGAAACTGTCAAGAAAGCCATTAAATCAACATCAATGGACACATCTCCGGGGCCTGATCTGCACGATTAAATATTTTGATGTATCAAATATTATCAAAACAATTGCAGAGATAATGCTGAAGGTGAACTATGTTCCAGAACCACTTCGACAAGGGCGCACAATCCTATATATTATTTATAAAAGGTGTTTTTTTGTCGGTTCGCCATAACTTCATCAATTCTTCATCAAATCCAATGATTGACCACTCATTTTGAAGATATTCTACTCCTTCACATGCAAAAAATAGTCCTATCCCCCAGAAATTTCTGGGAAAAAAGTTATGGAGGAAAAGAAACTTTATTTGCGAATAACTCAAAAAGTATGTATTTTTTTCTCGATTGTACCCATGATAATTAGAAAGATTACTAAATTATTTCTTAAAGACATTTGGTTGTTCTTACATTTTATTTATTTATTTTTTTTAATAATTTAGAATATCCTATGATCGGGGCATTATTTTGTCTTTATCACTTTTTTTTATTTATTTATTATTTTTTTTTTTTTATTTTTTTTTTTTATACGGTATGAATGTACTATCAGAACTCTATTATAAGTGTCCTTAACTGTTATTATTATTATTAAATGGCACTACATCCCAATTATTTGAGACTTGGCCTGCTCTAGCATGGATCTCCAGTTCTCCCGGTTAGTCAAAGGCTTTGGAGAAGTCAAGGAGAATAAGGATGGTGAGTTTCTGCTGGTCCATGGCTGTATGAAGGTCTTGGGAAATTTTGATGAGGGCAGACTGAGTGGAGTAGCCAGGGCGGAAACCGGACTGGTTAGGATTTAGGAGGTTATTCTGTTCTAAAAAATCGGATACCTGGGTTTGAACTAGTCGCTCTAAAGGTTTAGAAAGATTTGAGAGGAGAGAAATTGGACGGAAATCATTGAGAGTTGATGGGTTGGAAGTCTTTTTCATAGGGCGAACTAGTGCGGTTTTCCAGGATGTAGGAAAGGTACCGTTTTGTAGTGAGTAATTGTAGATATGGTAGAGGATTGGAAGGATGGATGGTAGTGAGGCTTTTATCAGTCTGACTGGGATGTTATCAGGTCCATAATCAATGGTTTGCGACTTTTGAATGGAGTTGAGGAAGTCATCAGGTGTAATATGGGAAAAAAAGAATTGATCAGGATTAAAATTTATAGGGAAACACACAGGAGTCGGCATAGCCGCGGGAGATGAGGATGAGAAGGGACAGGAGACAAAGTGAGCGTTAAGGTCATCAGCAGAAAAGGAGATGAGCTGGGTTTGAGGTGTTACAATTGGTCAGTTTTTTTAGGATAGCCCACTTGGCCTTGGAGTTTGGGGTGTTGGATAAGGAATGATGGAAGTAACGGGATTTGGCTCGGCATATAGCAGACTGAGTGCTGTTTCGTAGTTGCTTGAAGACGATATAGTCTTCCAGGAGTTGGGTACGTTTAAACCTTCGTCTTGCCGCATCTCTTCTTCTCATGCACTCTCTCAAAGCGGGTGTCAGCCAAGGAGCAGGGGAATGTTGGATGGTTTTAGTTAGGAGAGGAGCATGGCAGTCGAGGATGGTATGAAGATGGTTGGTAAGGATTTCTACCATGGCGTCAATGGATTTAAAGGAATAAATGGGGTCCCACTGGGAAGCATCGAGATCCTGCGACAGGGCTTCATAGGTGAGGGAGTTAAGGTTTCGGAAGGATATGATTTGAGGAGAAAAAAATGGGACCGGGATGTTGTAGAAAATCTGGATAAGATCATGGGAAGACAGAAATGGAACCGGGTGCTGAGATGCCGACAAGAGTTTATCCAGGGAATCCAAGACAAACAAATCAAGCCAGGACTCTGAGAACTGGGTATGATGGGTAGGGTTCTAGGGTACTATATAAAGGCTGAGTGATTCGAGGAGGCCTGTCAGGTAGGAATGGTCAGAAAATGGTATCATTAAATTGGTATTGAAGTCTTCGGTGAGGATAATATTGGAGTAGGAAGGGATCAAGTTGTAAAGGGAAGTCTCAAATGATTCATCAAACGGAATTCTTGGAGGACGATAAATGACTGCAAAGAGAAGGGGAGATGATAGGGTGAGGATTTCAGTAAAAAGATATTCCAGATGCGAAGAATCGGTATGGGAAGAGCACTGTAGGATTTTGAATTTAAGGCTGTCATGGACAAAGAGGCCCACTCCACCACCTGTACGATCCTCTCTGTCATGACGAAGGAGGGTATAATTGGGTAAAGTAATTTGGGATGACAGAATAGAGGGCTTTAACCAGGTTTCAGAAACTGCAATTAAATGGTAGAAGTTGTGGAGGAAAAAATCATAAAATTCATCAAAATGGGCTAGGAGTGAC